ATCTATCTTTTATTAATATCTACTCTATAGTAGGTATAGGATATATAGTGGCTATAGGTTAACTAGTAAGTATAGATTAGATGAGCAGTAGCCTTATTAGATCACAAGGATAAGTATTATATAAAGGAAAGTCGATTCGACTTATTGACTCGAATAGTTAAGTAAACTTATCAATTTAATTAAAGTATGAAGGCCTATATAAGGAAAGAGGTTTCATTATAATATAAAGCTTCGTGCTCAAGAACAATTATTAGTTTCATTATTATAGTTATGAGAATTGTAACTAATTATAACCTTATTGAATTCCTACTTGAAGTTTAGACTAAACCACCTCGAGAGAACTCTAGATACTTCCACATGATCCTAGAGGCAGCTCCCGTAACACTTTAAATTATAATTGAATTCAATTGCTTTGAAAAGGTATTTAAATAGTAATTAAAAAGCTAATGAAATATTATAAATAAATATTTAAAGAACAAAATAGCATTTTAATATTTATTATAATATTAAATCCTATATTCAAGTTATTCTTATTTAGAAAAAGTATTCTTAAATCCGATTCAATATAACTAATTAAAAAAAAAAGTATAAATAACATTTTTCTGATTTCTTTAATAAATTATTCATTTTCTCGCATATTATTATTATTTTTAATAATAATAATGGATTTATAGTATTTTTCAGCTCTTTATTATTAAAAAATCAACAGATTAATTTAGGAATGAATTATTATCTCTTTATAGATATATATTAATTATTTCTTTATATAAATAGAATCTCTTTAGAGCTTTTTTATAAAATCTTTTTATCTTTTTGAAAAAGAAATTACAATTTATTTTCTAATTTTTCATAAATGGTAAAAGATATTCTATATATTCCACTTACTAAAGCTTTTATTAAAAAAATATTCAATTTTAATAAAAATATATGTAGCTTTTATTAAGAATATTTAAATTATGATATTATTTGTAGTTTAATATTACTTTTATATTATTTAAAATATAAGATAAATAAAGAAGCTTAATTATACAATTATAATAAATAAGCTTTTTAATAAAGAAATTTAAAAAGAATAAAAAAGTTGAAGAAAAGAGATAAAAAAGTGTTTGGATTTATAATATCTTTTTAATATGAAACTGTTACGGGAGCTGCCTCTAGGGTCATGTGGAAGTGGCTAGAGATCTCTCGAGGTGGTTTAGATTAGACTTTAATGTTACGGGAGCTGCCTCTAGGGTCACGTGGAAGTGGCTAGAGATCTCTCGAGGTGGTTTAGACTAGACTTCAAGTAGGAATTCAATAAGGTTGTAACTGGTTGCAATTCTCGTAACTATAGTAATGAAACTAATGATTGTTCTTGAGCACGAAGCTCTACATTGTAATGAAACCCATTCCCTTATATAGACCTTCGTACTTTGATCGAATCGTCAAGTCTACTCGACTACTCGAGTCGACAAGTCGAATCGACTTTCCTTCACGTGACACTTGTCCTCGTGACCTGGTAAGGCTACCGCTTATTTAACCTGTGCTTACTAGCTAATCTGTAACCGTTGTGCAACCTGTGCCTACTGTGGGGTAGGTGCCAATAAAAGATAGGTACCTATCTTTTAATCACTGCTTATTTATTCGGTTACCGCTATCTTTAGTTACCCTTTAATTCAACTGTCCCTACAGTGCTGTTTTCATAGGTCCCAACACCAAGGCCTTAGGTTTATCTTATAATCCATGTTGCGGTGCGGGTACCTCCGTAACATTTAAGTAGGAATTCAATAAGGTTATAACTAATTGTAATTCTTGTAATTATAGTAATGAAACTAATGATTGTTCTTAAATATAAAGCTCTATATTATAATAAAACCTATTCTCTATATAGACCTTCGTACTAAAGTCGATCGACAAGTCGATTAACAAGTCGATTAATAAGTCGATCAACTTTTGATTATATAATACTTGTCCTATGATTCCTATTATCCTAGCTTGTCCTTTTGTTCTAAGGCTTAATCCCCTGGGACATTACTAATCCTAATGAAACCTTCTTGTTTACTGTGTTCTGTCTTTCCTAGGACCTATTATCCTAGGAACTATATTCTAGATTTCTAAAATATCCTATAACTAATACTATATATATGCCTGAGGCGTCTCTTAAGTGCCTAGTGTCCCCCAGTATACTACAGCTGAATTACTGAGGCCTATAATACTATTATAGCCTATAAGTCAGTGATTCTACAGTCTGTTACTAATCCGTTGTAACAGAAACCTAATTCTTTTATATACCCTAATAAAACCCTCTAGAATAAAGATCAGAATAAAAAAACGAATATTATCTCTAAATAGCTTGCCATTTTATTATTATTTTCAATTATTATCTTTATTATTAGTCAATTAAACTAATTCTAAAATATATTTATAATTTATATCACAATTAAGAAATATATTATTTATTATTAAAACCCCTCCTTTTCAAAATAATAATAACTTTAAGGAATAAGATTATTAATTATTATTATATAATAAAACTCAATAAAATCAGTATAAAACCCTTAGAAATAATTAAAGAAGATAATAAAAATAATTAAAATTTATTTTATATTTATTAATAAATGAAAAAATAAGTCGGGTACCCCACTTTCAGACCACCCCTCTTTTAGGCCACCTCAAAAAAGCTCACCGTAGAAAGCAATCTCCCACCTTAAATCTTTAATAACTTCATAATTTTTAAATTAATTGATTTAAAATTTTAACATATCATTATTTATATTATATCTAAAATATATACTAAAGTTGATATTAATTCGACTTTATATATAATAATGAATAAGTATTTAATTCAACAAGCTACTTCGAATTATAAAATTTTAAAAATTATTCTTCAAAATTATATAAATAGTTATCTATTTTATAATAAAAGTGTATAATATATGCAAAAGATAGCTCCAATACAAAAGAAATAATTAGTAAATTGAATATTAATTTAAAAGTCTTTAAATATTAATTTTATATATCAACAAATTTGTAAAATTAAAGAGCATCTTCTTAATATTAGGGGAAGTAATTCTAAATTTGGGAAATGATGGGTATAGAACTTTCTTTAAAGGAATTTAGAGATTAAAACTAAAAAATAAATTAAAATCGATTTAGTATATATTAAAGATGTAATTATTGATATTATTAATTAATAATTTCTAAAGTTGGATTTATTTTTAATTTGTTATATTAAATTTCAATATTGTTATAATATAGATGAAGTAGGTATACAAGAAGGCTAAGGATTAAATGGATTAGTTTTAGGAAACTTAGAATATCGTTTTATTCAGAAAAAGGAGTTTGGTTTTAGAGCTTGGATATTATTTATAAAGTATATTTTAATTATAAGAAAAGCTTTTAATTTCTTTATTATATTGAAGGGGAAATCAGTATAACAATAATAGTTTTCGGCTGATTTGAAACCTTATAAAGGGTGGCATTTTATTATTATAAATAATAAGTAGATTACAAATAATATTACTCTAGAATGACTTAAAAAGGTCTTTATACCTCAAACAGCCCCCCCCTTACCAAATGAGTTGAGATTCCTTATATTAAACGGGCATAAAAGTTATAAAATTATTAAATTTATATATAAATACTTTAAGTATAACATACACTTCTTATTCCTTTCATTATATATATCATACATCCTATAGCCTTTTAATTTATTCGTTTTTTCACCTTTTAAAAGAGTATATAAACATTATCTTAATAAATTAGTCTCTTTATTGGATTCTGAAATAATTAGAAAGATTAATTTCCTTATATACTATTAGAAAGTATAATTAAATAATTTAATAAAGTATAATATATTAATTGGATAAAAAGCTTTAGGTTTATAGTTTTTAAATCACATTAAGCCTATTATATTCAGATTATTGCTTGAGAATAGTAATAAAGAAGTTACAAATCAGAATTTACTTTTTAATGATAATTTTATGTATTAATGGAATAAGGAATCCATAATTTCAATTTTTAAAATACCTCAAAAAGCTAGTGATTTAAGATTATATACATATATATTCCTTTAGAGTGAAGAGATTGATCTTTACATTTGTTATTAGCTTTTTAGAAAAATTATTAAGGGATTTGATACTAAGGATTATAAAATTCTGTAATCTAGGTATCAAATAAAGTAATTAGAACATTAATTGAAGTAAATTGTTTTTTAAAAAAAAACATAAGGTAAAAACTAATCCAAATTCGAAGTTTTCTAAAATTAAAGAGATTAGAAAGGTGTAAATTGAAATGAGAAATTATGAAATTGATATGGGAGATATTAATAATAATAATGAAAGTATATCCTTAAGTATTTATTATAATACCAAATAATTATTAAATAATTAATGTTTTAATATTATATAATATAAATTTTTAAGGTGGCTCAAAAGAGGGGTGGCCCGAAAGTAGGGTACCCGACTTAGATTTTAAATTTTATTTTATTATAAAAAAGGTTTTATAATATTTCTTATTACAATATATCTATTATAACTTTATCGAAAAGTAATAGAATCAATTAAATTATATTTTTATCTGATTCTACCTATTCTTTAATAATTCTAATTTTATAGCTTGAAAATCATTATTAAGATTGAATACTAATAAGCTTTAAATAATTTATAAATAATCAATATATTTTATACATTTCTTATTTTTATACTAATATTTATATTAATTATAAATATTATATATAGGTAATCTACGGATTATTTATAAATAATCCGTAAATAATCCGTTTACTTATATATTTCTAGATTATTTATAAATAATTTGTGGATTATTTGTATAAAATAGATAATTTTAAAGCCTTTGTAAATAATCTATGGAATAAGTAGAATCACTAATGGATAATCTATAGAGCGGATTATCTGCAGGTTACCCGTGGGTGCGGATAATTTTTGCGCAGCCTATTCACCACTACCCATCTTCTCCCCCTCCCATACCACCCCCACCCATCCCCATCCTGATCCCCCCATCTAACACGTAAAAGCCGCCGGTCCCGGAATCTTATACGTCTGAACCGCATACATATCATAAACAATCCCTGGATCCGTCGCCTTATAAACCCCCGGAATGGCCACCTTACTACTGGGACCCGTACTAGTTCCACTCCCCGTAAGCTGTATCTGATGACAACTTGGATAGAATTGCACACCCGGGTAAGTCCATGCCGCATGCAACGCGAGGATCTCATGACGGACAATGTAGGAGCCGGCGGAGAGACAGGAGGGGATGGTGTAGGAATAGGAGTTTCCGGCGGTTTTGAGGGGGGTGTCACCCCAGACGGTGGTATTGCCGATGCGGCCGGTGGCTTGGATTTTGAACCAGACGGCGCTGTGGGGGTGGTGTTAGTGGTAGGTGAGTATTTGAGTAGGAAAGAGGCAAGAATCTTACTCAGTGCCGGGTAAATAGTTACTACATCCTGCAGCGGGACATTTCGCCATATAAGTTATTACTGGACCGGCTTGACGAATCTCAATTAGCACCGCTACATCTACTCAACAATCTCCTAACTATATCTCGCTTCCAAACTCATCGAAAACAAAATCATTAAAACTTACAATGACTATCCGGCCACAACGTCCATCTCAAACTAATCGTGCTCCCAGCCGCAACCGGACCCGCAGTCAACTTTGCAGGTGTAGAACCAACAACACCCCCTTCGGTATAACCACCACATTGAAGATCAATAAGCGTAAGATCAGTGATAGGACCATTGCCCTGCACTGGACGAATGATACGTGGGGGTGGTGTAGCATAGTAGGGATCTGAATAGGGCTTTGGAAGAGGAGACGATGTCAATAAGATACATATCTGGAGTTCGACAGCGGCTTACTTGATATCCCTGGATTGAAATATGTTAGGCTTAATCTAATCTTATTGGGAAGGAAAGACTTACAGTATAAAGAATCCCATTAATCGTCACATTATCCACATATCCATGCGCAGCAACCGTCGCCACAAAAACCAGAAGATTTGAGAAAATTTTCAAATGCATTGTGACTTTTTGAAGCAAGCGAGAAAGTACAAAAGAAGGAACCGAATTCTCAAGATCCAGACTTACATACGAGATTCATATATCGACGTAGAACTTTGTGAGAAAATCAACACATGATGCATCTTCAACGTCTTAACGGCCCGGGATCCCAATATCCCCCAAAGCTTCCGTCGCCTAACTGTTTATCTGAACATCTCCAAAGACAATGCGAGATACTCAATGATAAGAAACACGCATTCCCATCTCACATCTTCAAGAAAGAAAGCAAAAGATACACCGTCGGCCAGTCTACCCGCCTCCCTCCCGGCACTCATCTTTCCACAAACAAGCATCCGCTGTATTCCCAACCGCCAAAACACGGGGAAGAATCTCCTACAAATCAATCTATTCTCACTAAATTTCTCACTTCACCATAAGATTTTGTAGGATTGTAGGAGATATCTTCCGATAATATATTACACCGAGTCAGATGCCGCTTGGCACACTTCGCTTAAACGATTGTGTGACTATAATAATTATAGGCTAAATTTCATGATAGTCTTGGTTCTTTGAAGAACTGAAGATTGAATGGTCTGGATTGGATTGGATCGATCAGGCATTCTTCGGTTTTCTTCTTTCCAGGTGACGTGGAACTCTCCACGTTGTGCGTTGTGGAATCTGGGGTACATGAGTGTGGCTCTGGATGTATTACATTGCCAAGCTATCCAAAATTAGGGTTGTATACGCGTCATACTGGGCTGTTTTCGATACACTGGATGCTTGTCTTATCTCTCGCGCCTTAATTCTGCCCTATTGAGTTATGGAGTGCCTTTCCCCTTATAATCGCTCCATTTTTTGACATTAGGCTTCGCTGCTTTCTCATTCAATCATTCATTGAAAGTATTACATTTTCATGTAGAGGAATACTTGAAGTGCCAATCATGTAATTAAGAAGTGGATTCTAAAGAAAATCATGGAAAAATGAGGAGAGAAATAGTAAATTGTACTCCAAAACCCCATTAGCGTGTCTCCAAGCAACACAATAACAACCGTTCTTGGGTATCTGTTGCGCCGCAGATAAATCAAATCTAGACATTTAAAAAGTGGAGGGTGTCTATGGTCGTAAACAATAACCCATTCGCATTTTCATTCTTCGCCTCGTCCCTTCCCACCAAAGAAAAATAGCACTTTTCGTTTCCGGTCCCATGAACCCATGAATTAAACCCTCTTCAAAATTCCCCCTTCCACAACTTTAATCACGAGAACAAATAATCCACCAACCAACACCACAACACCACTAAAGTCCGCAACTTGATCATAAGAATGGTACTGTTCGACAAGTGCGCCATTGATAGGTGGACCAATCAAAGCTGCAAATGCTGTGACGAACATACCCATTCCCATATAAGTTCCAATGTTTTGAGGGTTCTTAGGGACCATTGCAAGACATAGAGTCACTAGTGACACGATTGCCCCCGAGCAAAATCCATAGATAGCCGCAAAAACAATGATGCTAGCACTAGAAGTAATACTTTGCCAGCAAAATACTAGTATTCCCGTGGAAACGCCGACCGCACACAACATATTCAGTCGGCCAACTTTATCTGCCAAAATACCAGGAATAACACGACCAAAGAATGAAGCGCCATTGAGTATCGAAATAAGGTATGAAGCTAACTCCGTGCTCATTCCATACTGAACGGCATAAGATGGGAGGTAGAAGATAGGAATAAACACACCGAGCATCATCAAGAAAGCCGAGACCAGTAAAGTAATATAAGGAAGCTCCTTGAATGCCGCTGGGAGGAAAAACGATTTTTTTCGAGGGGGTAATCGCGCTCGGAGAGTCGTGCAAGAGATTCCAAGGACTGCAAGCATAATAAATCCGATAATTCGAACACTCCATCCAAAGCCCAGTTTTGGGTTCGCAAACATTTTTGCTAGGGCGATTGGAAATATAACACCTCCCACTGAAGACCCAGCGACTGTGATGCCCATTGCCGCGCCTCTCTTTTTATTGAAATATTGACCAACAGCTGTCATTCCAGGCGCCATTGTCATACCAGTAGCTATTCCACCCAGAATTCCTTGTGCGAGCATGAATTGATAGTATTCCTTGCAGAGACTAGTCATCATGACGCTAAAAACGTATAGAAGTGCAGCAGGCCATATTGTTTTTCCTCCAAAACGATCGAAAAGTGGGCCGCCCACAGCACTTCCACTAAAGAGAAAGAATACCTGGAGAGATCCAATCCATGATATATCGGAAGGGGTTCGATGAGAGAGTTGATGGGTTTGGTAGTATTCTTGGTAAACACCTAAAAGTATATCGTTAGTTATCGCTAATTTTTAAAAACCGCGCTATTGTAAAGGAGAGACAATGGTTGAACAATCTGACATTAAACGGGAGGGGTGAAATTTCGACAGACCTACCGAAAGCATTTATATATCCAAATGTACAGAATAAAACCCCAGCTGCTCCAGCTGCTACAGACCACGCCCTTGCTCCCCCATCAGGAAAATCCATTATAAAGGCATTTTGCTTTTCGGCTTCGCTTTGAAAAGGTTCCAACCTTCCGTTCTTGGTTTCCGCCTTCTCCACTGATCTCTCGATGTCAACGCCGGAATCTACGGGCATGCCAAAGCTTGTGGGGTCACCCTTAACCTTATGGGTTTCGGTGGATTGCATTGTGGATAGGAAAACGCAGATCCCGTACTTCGCGTCGATTGTTTTGTAAGCAGGGATGATGAGGAAATTGATAGCTTGATAGTTTCTTGGTATTGCGTCCAACTTTTGAGGAAGCAACGAAGGTCAATGTGTGACAAGTTGTTGGTTGTGAAGTTGTTGTTGGCGATGTAGTTTTTGATAATGATCAATTGCCCATCCTTTATCCTTACTTTCTTCCATCGTATGATGGCGGCAAGGGTATGGAGATAATCGATGTCGACGCCGCAGAGTTCGTTCATCGGAACGGTATCACGGAGAATTCTTTAAATCCGGAAAGAGCGAGCTTCACGAATATGAATTAACCCGATTGGTTCAAGTGCCTGGGCAGTGCTGGGATATGAGCTCGAAGGCTCTCTCGCTCTCTAAAGTTTGCGCCACATGGTTTCTTAGTAATTATCACCGTTACCGTTTGGGTGTTAGCTCTGGTTGTTACATCATCCGGCATTATCGGGTGAATGGATCAATGTCCGAAATATTTATATATATAATCCTCTTATCTCCGCTCATGGTATCGTATGAGCATAACTCTTCCTTCTCTTATACTCCTGCAATCTCATCTCGGTCTTTTCATCATTTTGTTTTCAATTCAACTTAGTATACCGTCATAAATCCGTACAACTTCGAAATACCTACACTTGTTCGGACAGGATCTGCATCTAAATTGTTTGCTTGCTTGACATGCCAATCAGTCCAATCGGTCTAAGTCTACAGATCAACCGTCCCAATACACCGTCGGAGTTCATTCCTTCTGTCAAAAACATCCAATTCAGTCCTATTCTTTACAATGGACATCAATTCCATCGTATTACAAACGTCAAGGATGGAAAGGAATCCTCCCACGCCTCCTACTCAGCCCCGGAAACGTCGCAGGCCAGCCTTATCCTGTATACAATGTCGACGTCGGAAGATAAAATGTGATCGAAACATGCCATGTGGTCAATGTATCTCCTCAAAAACATCAGCATGTCAATATAGCTCCGATCTAGCTCCACAGTCTAAAAGATCCCGGGTCAATGGGAATGGCCAATACCCTGTCACACCTTCAACCGTAGGCCACAGTCCCGGAAGTACCACCCACGCATCACCAAACCGCAATGGTGGTACAGATAATGTAACCAATGGTATCCTACCGAATTCTACAAGCTTCTGGGCTGAAACGACCTCTATCGTTGATGGATCACTTCCACTTCGTGGACAGACCCTTGTACCACATCAAAACCCATCGGATCCGACTGTACAAGCTCTCCTAGACAGAGTACACAAGTTAGAACAGATAATATCTGAAACTGATGCTATGAATGATGGCCCAAATCTACTTAGCGATAAATACGTCAGAGGCCCTAGCTTAAGGGGAAGTCTTTCCAAAACAAGATTTTTCGGGCAAAGTCATTGGATGAACTCAATCGATCAAGTAGGTTAATATATTATGCCGTTCCTGGTCCCTTCCATTTCATCTCAGTGCCCCAGGATCTCTTCTTGCTTTTATCTACCGTCTTTTTCTACCCACTCCGCTTTGAACCATAGCATTTGCATTCGCCCAAAACCGTCATTCTAACTCAATCATCACCATCTCGTTTACATTGCTAATATGTTTAAAGTCTAAACATCTGACCAAACTCAAAGAGCTTGGGCCATTAAGCAAGGGGGGGGAAGTTTTCGATCTATTGAACAAATGCAAGGCATTGGGTAGAAAGGCGAAAGAATTCAGAGGTGCAAAGTCATCAGTAACGAGTGAATACCGCGATTTTGTCCCGGAGAAGGAGACATCTGATCGTCTCGTCAACGCATATTTTCGAACTTTTGAATCCGTCTATCGTATATTACATATTCCAACATTTGAAGAGGAATATGCATCGTATTGGAAGAATCCCGCGGCAGCGGATATGGCTTTTATCATAAAATTACTACTCGTGATGGCCATCGGAACAAGCTTTTACGAAGATCCTATACAGCCCACTTCTTTACATCCTAATGCTCAACATTGGATTGCGGCGGCTCAAGCTTGGGTAGCAGCACCACCCGAAAAGCATCGTCTCAACATTGTAGGTCTACAAATTCATTGTCTACTTCTTATAGCTCGTCAAGTAAAATCCGTCGAGGGCGATCTCACATGGATTTCTTCTGGTTCTGTCTATCACTTGGCCATGTCTTTGGGTCTCCATCGTGATCCGGTACACTTTCCCAAGATGGGGCCATATCATGCAGAGATACGGAGACGACTTTGGGCAACAGTTTTGGAACTTTCTTTACAGTCAAGTCAAGATCTTGGAATGTCACCTTTAATCAATACACAAGATTATGACACGGAGCTACCAGCGAATATCGATGATTCTGAAATCAGTGAAACAACCAAAAAAGCACCAATATCAAAACCAGTAACGGCATTCACTCGAACTTCAATTCAAATATCACTAACGAGGACCTTCTGTACGAGGCTCGAAATAGCAAAGGCCATCAATAGTTTCAGAAATGAGATTTCATACGAAGATACATTGCGTCTAGGATCCACGTAAGTACTCCCCCTTGGGAATTTGGTATTCATAATATGTTTCGTTGTGTACAACTTTATGCTAGTCAAGGAATTTGAAGATCATAAGGGACTAACGACTACATACTACTAGACTCTCAACATCAATTCGTTCTAGCTCCGCACTACTCCAGTCATTCCTTAGATCCAATTCTGAAACAAAGCCAACCCCTTTTCAAATTAAGCTTCATGACTTCTACTCAACCCACTTCCTCTTGGCCTTGCACAGGCCCTATGCAATTAAAGCCAAAGTCAATCCAACCTATTATTTCTCTCGAAAGGTCTGCCTCGAAACCTCTTTATCTCTACTTGGACCAGCAATATCACTTCCGGGGCAATTAAACTTATCCCAGCCCGATGATTGGACCCTGCTTACCTGGACCGCATCCGGTATCACGAAGGGGACTTACATACATGCACATATAGGCCTTGGCCTGGAACTAAACCAACAACTTGAAGAGGATCCTCCACTATCTTTCTCAATCAACCCACCACCTCCTCAACAATCAGAACTTCTACGTGTACTTCGTAGTGGGCGCGATTGGGCCTCTGATCGAATAATGAGGGGCGATACTAATATCAAAGGACATGTTTTCATATCTTGTCTTTGCGGTCAGATAGAAGCACTTCAGAAAGGTGCTTCTGCTGATGAGGGAATCATAGCCGAGGCTCGGAAAAGTGTATATCATTGCTTACAATTAATGAGGAATAACTACAAAGGGCAGGAGACACAGATAAGTGCAGAAGCAAATCGTAATCTATCGATGAATTCCGCTCTTAACGGTGTCAATTGGGATGCAATGGTAAGCCTTCTTGTATCTGATATGATGACCATCTACTAATGCTCTCTAGATGCAAGATCCAGATGTCGAATTCGAATATCCAGGAGAATGGGTCTTCTCTGGATGAGAGGATGGTAGTTTTCTGATATAATACTAGCGACCCATCAAATTGTATGATTAGTTGCATTTTAGAACTGAGCCTTTATGGAGGAAACGATTATAGACGAGGAACTTCATTATCCTCTACCTGGTTGTATATAATAACGCACGTTCTGTCAATCTTCATATATCTATGGGAAGCTCCCAGGCGACGGAGAAACAGGCGAAAAAGTATAGCATGCTGATCTAGATAAAGTTCAAGACATGCCAATATTTGATCCCGCGATCGGGAAGAATTTCCAATACATACAGTCGTTTACCTAGTATACTATATTGGTCTTTCGAAGTCACATGTAGTAAGCGCGATTTTATTATTGACTAGCCCCTCCCTATTACTATCTACCGAGAACACACTTCCACATTAATTTGTAGCGTGTTGGTTTGCCGGGTAAAAGTGCAATAAAGGTTTGCATTGCTTCGCCGCAGACCGACTGTTGAGCTACTTGTCGTGTCCAATTTCTACTTGACCACATATATCAAACGAACTAAGCTGTTTCAATCCTCCTGGTATAAAACAACAAATTCTATGATTCGTTGAAAAGTCACAAAGTCGAAAACTTCCAGCACATATTACTGATGAACATGAACGAAGAACCACCGTCATCTCCTGGACAAGGGAATGCTGATTCCCACCCCGAACCAAATTCAACCAAACGACACGGCTGGCAATTTTGGGCCATTTTCCCGGGCTTGTGTCTTGCATCTGTATTGTGTGCACTCGATTCTACAATCTTATCAACCGCTTTACCTACAATTACCTCCAATTTGAATTCTTCATCAAGCTACGTTTGGGTCATTAATGCTTATACAGTCACCTTCACTGCAATACAGCCATTTTATGGACAATTTGCTGATATTTTTGGACGAAAAGTGCCACTATTATTAGGCTTCATGGCTCTACCTTTATACATGCCCTTCGAGAACTCACCATTCTGTAAGCAACCCACAACACCCTTACGCCTATTCTCTCACAGAATATCGTCTTTAGCTTTTTTGCTCACATTTCTTCATAGAATACTCTTGTACTGGGCCATTCATTTTCTGCCCGTTTACTTTCAAGCCGTCTTACTTGATTCTCCGCAGTAATCGGGGATTCACACTCTTGCAGCAGCCATACCAATGGTTCCATTTGGCATTCTAGGCGGATTTTGGATTGCTAAAGTTGGATATTATCGACTAAACCAAGTTCTAGGGTTTGCACTTGCTACGGTTGCCATTGGATGCTTTAGCAATCTGGATCAGAATTCTTCTACAGCCGTTTGGGTCATACTGCAGAGAGTTTTCGCAGCCGGTGCTGGAATTGTGCTTACAGCTACATTACCTGCAATACAAGCACCGCTCCTAGAATCCGACGTCGCGACCGCCACCGCAATATGGGGATTTGTTCAAAGTTTGGGGTTTGTTTGCGGTGTTGCCTTACCTTCCAGTATCTTCGAAGCGAAGTTTAGAAGTATGATTTACACCATTGATGGTGATAGTTTGAGGCGAGTGTTGCAAGCTAGAGGTGCTTACGAGCATGCTTTGAAGGTATTCATCACATCTCTATCAAAGGAGTTGCAAATGCAGATTGTGACACTGTTCGTGGTTAGCTTGAAGCTTGTGTGGGAGGTTGGATTGGCATTTGCTATCTTTGGATTATTCTCGTCTTTTTTTGTGCAGGATATTGAGGTAGAGTAATCTGGAGACATATTTTGGATACGGAGAAGAGACTGAAGCCACTACGAATGAAAAATATCCAGGTAACCTTCTGCAGTTGTGAGCTGATGTATTTTGTTAGTGTGTGGCTGGGTGGTAAATTTGTGTGTTGGAATGGGAGAAACTTGGTGTTTCGGATCTAATTAGATCATTTCATATGTGGAGAAAAAAGAGAGTTATGTGAAGATTTCAGAAAATATAGAATGAAATTTTGATCCTGTAAATGAACAAACATAATGAGTGTCGGAATCAAAGGCCAGAGTTCGAGTCGAAATTCATATCGTGTAGTATTTATTTCTCCAAAGCCGTCCTATTTTTAGAGATGAATGAGACGTGCAACAAAAGAGACGAAATATATCTCCTGCATCATTATTCTGAAGAATATAGTACTCTAGACCGATCCCTCATTATTGTACAGCTATATTATAAAAATACCTAAATTTTGACGCGCGGTTGAGACTGATAAAGATTCGCTCGACTGCCGACTCCCAGGCGGAAACCTGTATCACGACAATCAATTAGGCAGTACCGATGCTCAGCCTGGTTTTAAAGGAATGTTCTTAGTAAGTTCTAGTACAGATGTTAATAGGAGGTAATAAATATGTCAGCCTTGTGGTCCATTGGTGGTTTCTTGAGTCACGGGCCCCCTGCTTCAATTCTGTCTTGATTAACGTCATGGTTAATTATTTTTGTCCTGCATTCCTAGCTATGTGGAATCTTAGCGCTTTCTCTTCGGGTTTCTTGGTGTCGATTGGGATTTGTATTGTTGAGTAGTGACAGGTGAGATGGTTATATACTGCCTAGATTGTTTTGGTTGTTACTTTTGTTGCATGTCTGGATTTGAAATTCTATTAATATCGTTTTTGAGAGGGGCTGTGATGTTCGATTTTCTGTACCTATGGTGCTGTGGTATTTCATACTGTTTCCCGTATTGGGAGCTCAATGCCATGATATATTGCTCGGATGGAAAGAACTGGAAGGTTCGCTTCTCAGGCCCGTATATTCTTTGAGAAGCTTATGGGTATCGGCCCCAAACATAGCTTCATTGAAATATCTTTGAAGGTCTTTGGGGACAAAGCTTCACATCACTATACTTCACTTTCAACAACGAATTCAAGCCACCTGTATTTCCTCCTCCCCTCATCACCCCACCCTATTTACCATCCATCTACCAATTTATCTATCCAAACCAAGACTCTTAAGCCACACCATACCAATTCCAAAGATTTGTTGCACATCGTACATTGGGGCTCTAAAAATACCTCGTTTACCTCTCTTTCTCTACAACGAACAATCCTTCCATCCTTCTCTCGCTTAAGCTTATCGGCTTCTCCTTGTAAGATCATTTTGCAAGCGAATCTTATCAAAGTTAAATTTAGAGATGTTGTATCTAAGAATACGAAAGCGTAGGATCATGCATATCATCAAATGTTCGAGAAGCCTTATGTTCGTTTCGATAAGCGCTGGGGTGGAGGGAGCTAGGTGGAGGTTTTGATGAAAGTGGGGTTAATAGGCTCCCGGGTGAGGATTGTGGGGAATGGGGTCTAGATAAGTTGATAAAAGTGGTGCGGGTGCTGTGGTTTAATTTTGGGGACTTTATAAGGACTTTTAAATTCTTCTTCTTTTCATGGAGTGCAAAATTTGCAAAGAACTGGTGTGCTGAGAGATTTCAGATGGTTGAATATTATTCTTTTCAGGTAACGTGATAGTCATGTGATATCTTGTGAATAGAATCATCTACCTTCCAACGCACTCCTATAGTGATTTAGGCACAAAAGCACAGAAATCTGGATGGTACATCTCCAGGTCATCCCAGCATTAAGCCAGGAGATGAATCAAGACTGTTAAAGCAATGTCTCTACTTTCTCGTATACTAGTGTTCAAGACTGAGTGATTGGAGAAGAACTCTTGAATATTCAAACATGCTCTCAGCACGCAAGAGGGTATATTGGCAGGTCATTAGGCCGATTACCATAAGCTGTTGGGGGGGGGGTGATCAAGGCTAATTCTCGAGCTACCTCAAGTGAATCATATTTCTTCGAAGAGATTAGGAAACTACTAATTGAGGCCGAACGTTCATCTATGAGAGATATCAAAGTGCACATTATATACCGGAAGATTGGTACTTTGGCATAGCGAACAGTCGAGCTGTTAGACTGTTTGATAGCGGCTCATGCCTGATACGTGAGCAACACGGAACTGATGCTTTTGCTACAAATTGCCAGCTCTTGAACAACCATCTCAAAGCTGAGCTGACTAGATGATATGTATGTCGCCCTAATGGAAGAAAATCTATTTGGAAACTCGCATAAAATTTCAGTCCTTCACAATGGCCAGTTTAAGATGGAGAGCCTATTTTAATATATTCTAATTACTGTGTCATTGAATCACGAAGATGCATCTGTAGACGAAATTAACTTCAACAAAGGGAAATTTCCCGTCATGTATATTATCGTCTACGCGTTCACGCTATTGTAACACAGCTCCAACGATTTTATTAGCCTTCTAATAAACCAACTTGCTAGATTTTCCTACCACGATTTCAGAAACCTGACCCCACGGATGATGCAAGTCTTGCATTAAACACACGCATTGGTTTGGCCTTCTTGATCTACAAGCCCATTATCTTAAATTTTATCTACCAACCTCTGAGTCAGAATGGATGCCTCCAGCGAAGAAGAAGATAGAACCACGTCGTTGATGAAATGTGTTCTCGACATCATTCGTTCTCAAGCCTTGAATGATCCAGAGCCTCAATCTCAGAAGAACATCATTGACAGTTTCATCTGCATACACCATGGAGTTCGCGAAACGGACTTGCTATCGATTATTGAACAACTGGTTGAGGTTAACGGATTTTGTTTAGGTATATTTTAGTGGGAAGATTGCTAAGAAACGCCTGCTAGGTCAAAATCCTCCTTCCATCTGGGAATCAGGAAGTATGCGAGAGAAGCATGTACGGTCACCCAGAACGCGAAATTTCACCTCTATTCACCATTCATCCTGAATGCAATATTGGTAAATATCGTTCAAGTGAAACATGCGCTAAACACCTATACAAATATCTGCTCTCCCCGCAGTCTGCCTTGCGCTCAGAATACGCTACGAAGAGTATCGGAAAACCTGAGGGCTTATTTGAAGATCTAATTGAAGCTATTAACTTGACGAAACAATATGTGAAGTCAGTTAAGAGTGGTGGGTTTCATCTACAGATCAAATCGTAACCATGCTAGCTTTTCAGGAAATGACTTGAAAGCAGATAAATTAGTGGGTTTACTGCACCACTTTCGTTGAATGTACGCTAACTTGATATAGATTCATCAGGCAATTAGCTTGGCTAAAGATCAGAATCGAAAGTTTCATGAAAATCACGGACGTGCTCAAGCCAATATTGGCGATGCATCGATCTCAAGCACCGTTCAAAATGAGTCACTCAAAAGTTCCAATCGCACCAATTTTCCAAATGTATCTCCCGTAGGCAATGTTGCTTCTTCAAACTCGCAACCACTCGCGTCACTACAAACCTCAAAAGAAACGATAAGGATACTTCGGATCATAGATTAAGTACCTCTCGATTGACCTCTGCGCTTCGCGATTTGAATTCAAAATACCCCAACGATAACCTCAAGCTCGTATCCAAGAACAACAAGCTTTGGTTCAAATGTCACGACTGTCCAGCCCAGCTTTATAAGGTTTCGGATCAAGGGAGCCGCATCCAATATATAAGGTGTCATATCGAGAGTGCTGTTCATGCCGACAGACTTGAAAGCAGGGCGACTCGCAATGGTGAGAAAACTATCACAACAACTTATGTACAGACCAGGAAGGAAAGACTAGAGAAAATCAGAGGAAATGATCCAAGAAGCTCACGATGGACGCGATGGCACGACGAGATCAAGCGCCAAAGTCTCAAGATGGGAATGTCGCCAACGTGAAAGGTTCGAATGGTGCACTTGCCAAGAATGGACCTGTTGCTGGGCTATCCACGACGGCGAGTTATTCCGAGCAATCTTCTCATAATATCAACTTAGACGGTGCTAGAGCTGTTGCTTCAAACAAGCGAAAGTGTATGGAGCCAGAATCCTCAAGTTCTAGTAACAAACGAACTCTATTGGTATGTGTTATTGGTTATTTCGTTCGTCTTTGGTAGAGATAGACATTGATTAAATTTGGTTTTAGGTGCAATCTCATGAAAAAACTCCACGCCCAACTTTAGTCACCCATCATACAGATCCTTCAGACAATGGCACACAGTCCCGTTATGATACGCCTGGCAATCATATACAGACTCGATTGGGAAAAGACCAGCCACTAGATATCCACGACGCTGCAGACAAAAAAGCGACAAAGAGTGCAAAAAGCGAAGCAGTAAAGGCTCGTGTTGAGGATTTAAAAGCGGAACGAGTTGCCAAAGGGAAAACATTAGCGAAGCTTGCCAGGAAGCTCCACAAGCAACGAAAAATTGCTGCCACACAGCAAGAAATACTTGAAAACTTGGTTAACGAAAATAAGCGACATTATGGATTATTGAACTCTGTCCGTGAGTCTCTCAATATCACCAATCACCGACTGTCAACAAGAAAGAACGTCCACAAGGATGAGGTTACAAGCCTTAAGGAAAGTATCAAGTTTCTCAAAAATGGTCGAATTTTAGTAGAAGCTGTGGCTGACGAGCACACCATTGAGCTTGAGGAACTGAGAAAACGTTTGCAGATCTTAGAAGAGCGTGACTTGGGCGCGGAAGATGATGTACAAAAACGAGCTTCTCGCCTTAGAGACCAAATCAATAGTGATAAATAAATTTGATTAACATAGTTTAACACCGAGTAGCCTATATCATCGAATGGGCCACTTCAAAATACACCAATATTAAACTTTTTCTAATATTTATATCTTAATAACCAAACATTATTTTTGTAAAAGAAAAAGATATTAAATAATAATAATAAATTAATTTTTCAAAAATCTAGTTTTTACATAAATATTTCTATTATATTTTAAAAAAAATCAAGATTGTTATGATTTTTATTACAAAAATATTATTTTAATAATAATTCATATATCAATTTGGATTTTCCAAAACAGATTAGGTTTTTATAATATTTACATAATTAAATATTCTAATTTCAATTTTTAAAAAATTCTATTAATAAATAAATAAAGTATATAGTTATATATAAACAAATTTTGTATGTATTTTAAAGTGGGCTACTTAGTAATATAGGCTATTCGGTATTAAACTATGTTAGTGGAAGTAGGAGTGGGAGTTGTTAGACTCTTCGAGGCATTAAGCTATAATTAATATATAAAATTATTAACTTGATCACATTTCCATCAATTCATGATTCAATATCTTCCTATTTCTGTTGTGATGATAAATGAGTTGAGCTCTACAGGTGAGAAAAGAGAACCCTAAATATAAATTATTGCGGGGCAAGATCATCATGTCCGTGCTCCATCCAGCATTTACCTTCACGCGATGTGGCACTTGGTAAGACGCGTCGGTCATCCCAAATCCAAATTCATCAAGAGGTGAATTGCTGTTTATTTTGTAATCAAACTATACTGTCATGTCAGAACTAATTCCGTGATCCCTTGTAGGGACAACAACTGACGTGACTTCAACACTAGTTCATTAACCACGAATACAATGGAAAACGAGCTCGAGCGACTAGTTGAAGAAGTCAAGCGACCTTCGTCTCACACACATTCGAATGGAGAAGAAAATGTAACCGTCTTGGATAAACTGGCGAGATCAAGCGTTATCCTTGACTAGTCTTTATTGCAAGTCCACTGGGGCCCTGCATCCGGGTGTGTAAGTACTGCATATCTTAGATTGATATTATGGCCCTGATCCCGCTTTGAGACAACCGAAAACCTGACATTTTAAGCTTCCACCATGGCAAAAAAATACATGCTGGACTAGAAAGTCTTAGGAAGCATTTTCCAGACGACTTGCTTTACACGATCTCTTACAAGAATGATTCCTTCTATGTGAGCTGTAATGAGTGTTTTGGCCGATTTTTTAAGACCAAATCAAACATCGGAACCGTTTATGCACATGCGAAAAGTATGCGACATGGAAGCAAGGTCGATAGAAGACTACAGTCTGAAGGTGTGAATGGAACAAGAACCTTGTGGGTTACTAGACGAAGAGCAATAGAATCTTCAGACGGACAAGAGAAAGAGAAGCAACAGTGGCTACAATGGCAGGAGTCGGATGACGACCAAGGGAGAAGCCCCGATAGTAGATTACTCAGCGCATTCGATTTTGATGAAGATCCAGAAGATAACCAACCGTCAAAGAAACGCCAGCGAACAGCACGTAACCCATCTGACGCCAGCCTCTCGGGAGATTTCGCATCTTCTCCGCCAACGTATGGTGGTTCAGGAAGGATGCTTGGGCTATCACGCGGTGCCGAAGTGGTCAGTCTTCAATCCGAGAGCCCAATACCGATAACAAACGACTCAAGGACAGAAATATGCGTGCCTTCTGTAGACATCATGGATCGAATTATGAAAGTCGAAGGTAGCTGGAAGAGCAGAAGCACGAAGTTCAATGGCTAGCGATGGAGCAAAGAGATAGGTTTGAGGGGTTAACTGAGGAGATGGACGAATCTAATCGTTTGAATGGAGACCTAGCCGCCAAAATGAGTCGAATTTTTAAAGAACAAAAGGATTGGGAAAAAACTGTGAATGCGAGGCTTGACCACAAAGATTCTTCCATCGATGCAAAGACCGCGGATATGGAATTCATGATTCGATTATTTCGGGACGACACCAAGGTTTCCAAAACTAAGAGGTCGGACATTGAGAAATTTGAGAAGCAGCTAGCTCGTTCAGAGTCTCACCATGACGAATACACTACAGCATCGGCAAAGCTTGTTGAAAAAGAGAGAGAGATGATTTATACAAACGAGCAAGCTGAAAGGCGCCGACTACAACAATACGAAAAGGAGACTGAATTTCCGAACGGACAGACTGCTCTGGACCGAATTGCCAAGATTGAGAAAGTTATCGAAGAATTTGCCAAACAGTTAAGAAATATGACTAGTCAGATAGACAATCCTGATGTGTCAAACAGACGAAGTGGCTCCAACGATTTTCAAATTGATAGCCTTGTACAGACTAATAAAATAATGATGATGCGTTTAGCGGCTTTGGAAGAGAAGAATGAGATGCATGTTTCCAAAATTGTGGAATTGGAAAGAAGGAACAAGAGGTTACAAAATGAAGTGAGGAATTTGCAATAGATTAGCTCGGGCTATGACTAGCGGACGAAATTTAGGTAGATCAGACTCAACGGAGCCGATAAAAAGGGTTCTTGCTTAACGTTACACCGTTGGGGTAAGGGTAGCTTTACGCCACTTTTTTGAATTGATGTTTGTCTTATATTTTAAGGTTATATGGTGTACCATTGAGATACACCTTTACAAGATATCTTCCCACCACATTTTTTCCCTCGCCCACTGATCACATCAGAATCAGAGTCGTCGATGATTGACTTCATTGAAAACTATGCAGTACAAAACGAATGAGTTATTCTGTGCATAAAAGACATTTAATCACCCATAGTGTTTGAAACGCGAAAGAGATTGCGGGGTAATCATAATATCGAGTGTTTGCTTGATTGTTCTCGTGCTTTTTCCTCACGCGCTCAAGCTCTTCTGTACTTCTACTTCCTCAATACACGCGCACATCAAAGGATCAATCTATTGCATTTATATCCTACTCCCATCCTGCTACTATGCCACAGATATTTGGTAATCCTCGGATGATGGAATCGAAGGCACTTCTTTGGAACGCTTCAAGAGTGCCTCTGCGATGTTTTTCACTAGATGAAAATACACAATCATTGGGTAATCTTTCGATGAGCTTCTCTAATCCCTATAAATTGAGCGACTATCTTACACATCTTAGGAGAATTGAAGCACAAAGACAGATTCCACGAGGTGGACTCTGGTTCACCCACACCCATTTCGAGCTCATTAGCGAGTCCTGAGCCAATGTCGTCAGAGCAGAATGATGATCTACAAGTAATGGGCCGATCGTTAAAGGCAATAATAGATGAATCTTGTTTAATGAAAGGTGTAAGTAATATGTATTTCCTTTGACAACCATTTGTTTTGGTTATGCGGTAATGGTTCTGACTTCTCTAGGCCCCATCGTGCGACAAAGCCAAGGCTAAATTTGACGAGCTCGGGAAGGACTTTCCAAGTGATTTGCCATACATCATCACATACGAGCATAAATATCTGGAAGCCATATGTCAAGAATGTGATCGCGGACTGAGAATTGAGGGTTCTGCACTTGGTGGTATTATGAACCATGCGACCGGCATACAGCATGGTCTCAACGTCAAACAACGGCTAGTTTTAGACAATTTGGAAGAGGCACTAACCTCCAAAGTCATGGCCCGAAGGAAAGCTATGGAGACTCTATCTGAGCCAAATTCCTGCAGGGAAGTCCAAAACCAGCCGAAATCCAAAAATGAGAAGCCATGGGAACTTCCATCTATTAAAGTTGATCCTACTAGACCTGTCGAACATTTTGGGCCTGAGCCAAGAAAATCCAAACGCCAAAAACTAGCACCTGCGTTACTCGCTGAAACCGATACAGGTGATCTTCGAGTCAGTACAGTGTTAAAGAATCCTGTAGGCAGGTCTCGAGGATGGAAAAGAAACAAAGAACCTTCTTCGATAACAGAAACGTCTGCTCTGGTGTCGGAACGTATTGCCGTAGAAATATCCGAAAGCTTTACAGACTTCAATCACCAATTCGATCACAAAATGAAGAAACAAAGAGATCAGATATTGCTTCTCAATGCAGACCTAATTGGGTTGAGAAATTTTTATGGCAAAAGGCTAGATACTCTGGAGCAAATTTCGGAGACGCGGAAGCATGAACTCATAGTAAACAATAGACATCTCATAGAATTGAAAGCACAAAATGATGCCTCTTTCCAAAAAGACAAGGTCAGCTTGGCAGATATGAAGAGTACGCTTGGGAAACGGAAGGAATCCATCGATAATTTAACCAATCTCTTGTCGAATGCGGAATGCAAACTGGAGAGTCAGAAGAATTTCATGAAAAATATGGCTGTCCTCTTTCCGGGTGTGGAGAGCAAGCTGAATGAGCAGATCGAGATCATTAACCGTCTGTCTTCGAGAATGGAAAGTGACCTCGAGGGACAGAAGGCAACCACCACGGACTTGGGTCAGTTGACGAACAAGTACAATGGATAACAGAGAAATATTACCTACCCGACGAATCTTTTGGGAAAAAAAATTTAACGGTAGAGAACCCGAAGACTCATTACGGTTGCACACCGAAAAAGAGCTTCAAACCCACCAAAAGCAGATTGCGAAGCTCGAACAGAAAATATCCGGAATTCAACATGTCGTCACCAAAGAAGTTTCTGGGCTCATCAAGAAGCAAAGCTTCCCTCACGTTGCTGTAGACCGGGTTGAGAAATTGGAGAAGTCTATTGAAGAAATCAACAAAAGATTGGAAGATCCGTTTCCGGCTAGGATTTCTGAGGCTATTGTAGATCGAGTTGTTCGTCATACTGCAGAAAAGCACAACAGACTAGAGGAGATGGGTAGGGAAATCGAGAAGAGGCACTCATCTCAACGCGCCTCATTCATAGAAGTGCTTGAAACAAAGATGACCTGTACTTCTCAAGCCACTATTGATCCAGTTGCAAACTTAGAGGGGAGTCTCGAGGAGTTCCAAACAAAACTGACGGGCATGGCTTGTCTAGCTGTGGAACCCCAGTTGCAATGTTGTAAACAAGACGCCGAGGTCCGTGAAAAGCAAGCTGTCGAATTTCGACCCTATATGGATCGGATTGTTCGATTGGAAGAGGATTTTTCTGATTCCAGGTCCCTCAAATATAAACTGGACAGTTTGGAAAGGTGTACCCAAGGCTTTCAAATACGGTTGGATGAGATGGCTTGTGAGTCAGCAGAGTACCGGTTGCAACAAGATAGTGTACGCACCGAGTCTCTTAAAAGACAAGCACTAGAATCTTAATCTTTCATGGGGCGGGTTGTGAAAATGGAAAAAGATACAACGGATATAACGCGTCTAGTGGAAGAAAACAAAGTGCATGGAGAGACTATGCGAAAATGTATGTTGAATTCTCGGTCTACATCCGATCAAATCGCCCAATTAAAGAAAGAAGTCCAGAGTTATGACAGCAAGCTCGGGGCGGTGTCTGTGGCTTTAGATAATCGCCGGTTACAACAATTGAAAGAGCACACAGACCTCATCGAAGAGAAAATGTCCCACACTCAGACAGACTTCGACAATATGGTCACGAGATTTGCAGCAGAGGCACAAAATATCGCTACTAAAGCCGCCAGGTATGAGATAATTGGAAAGAATAGTTCTAGGGACCGCCAGATTGACGATCTAGCACAATCTATCAGACCGATAATGCTCCGTCTAGCAGGGTTAGAGAGCACTGAGAAGCAGTCTGATAAAATGGTAATGATGCGTCTGGCAGCGCTGGAGAAGAACGAGAGACAGTCTGGTGAAATGGTAATGATACGGTTGACAGCATTGGAGGAGAATAACGAGAGACAAGTTTCTAGGATCTTAGAATTAGAACGAGGAAATGAGAGCTTGGAAAGAGAATCAATGAAGTTGCGACAACCATCGTAGAGTAGTTATGGGAAGGGTGTTAGGAATGTGTATGTCTAGTGTGTATGTCTTTGTTAATTAACTCGCGGCTGCTTGGAAGAACAGCTACGCCGAGAATGATACAATCCTCATTCTCAATTATGATCATGACTGACAAGTTCAACTCATTTCACATGTATAGTAATCACGTCTGGGACTAACTTCAATGATAATGCTACAGAATCTGTCCAAAATCTTTTAGAAGTATTCGGATACTGAGGGTCAATTCAACGTTCTCTCATGTGCCAGTGTGGACGTAAAGGGTATGCGGGTTGATGTATAGAAATTCTTTTACTCACAGTCTTAAGAAGCCAATAGGTTTGGGTCCCACAGTTTTGTTTGTAATTATTGCAGGAATACTGTGCGTTTGCTTTCTGTCTAATTGCTTGACTTTGACCGGTCGCAGTTCACACGGAAGCCGACATCAACTACGATTCTATCTAGTAAGGAACACGGGTGTTTGCATGCGAAGGCCTTTTCACAACTAAAAGGCTCTGATACATCTGAATCAGCTTCGGTTTGTTGAAAGCAGTGTCAAGAATTTGCCTCTAGCTTGCACTCGGGCTGACGCAATCACACCCCTTCTTAAGAGGCTTTTCCCTATTTAATCGATTTGAAAATCGGAAACAGCCTCTTCTCTCTTTATTTGTTATTCCGACATCAGTTGATTGACCTTTGTCTTTTTTTTTCTATCAATCGGCACAATGGAACGATCTCTCAGCACTAGCGAGTGGCAGCCTTCATCTCTTTTCACAAACAGTAATGGAAGACACTCATCTGGTGATTCAATGCACTTATATGGAATGTTCAGTTGGATGGCTGGCTAACAATAAACAGAAGCAGGACCATCGAGAACAGATATCAGCACCACCACGAACGAAAAGAGTACTGGTCTTGAAAACCCACGCCCATGGAACTACTATTCAGATTTGGGTAGTCATAATAGTTATGATGATGATCGATTAACTTTTCGTTCAAAAAATAAGATTGTAGTGAGCTCCCCGCAAACCTCTGGTCCGCAACAGAGTACAGCAAGAAAAAGAAAGGCTTCCAGCGGCATCGAACCAGCCTCGAAAATTATCATCCACGAATCATGTATAGCAGCAGGTGTATGTAGAATATCTCCATGAAGCCCGCAATCACGGAACTGATAGCTTCAGGTATCGTCTCCAAAACTTCAATCCGTAAAAGCCAAAGTCAAACTTCTCGAGATGCAGTACCCAGATGACCTACCATACATCATCACTTTTTCGCACAACACTCAGACCCTGTATCTAGAATGTCAAGAATGCAGCAAGTCACTCAGTCTCTTGAAGGGAGGAGGAAATGTCGGAAGTCACGCAAGTAGCGTTTTGCATTCAACGTGCGTCGATGAACGGTTACGAAAACTAGAGGTGGAAGGTTTCAGGAGGCAAGTGACCGAAGAAGTTAGAACACGAGAAACAGCCATGTATGCTTCGCCGGCGGTGACTTCCACAAGGAGATCCCAAAGACTGTGGCGACGAACACATACCTCGAAGCAGCAATGCACGAAACCTACGCCGTCAGAAAACTTCGAATCTACTCCGTCTTCAGAAAATAAACGTATGCAATCGAAACGACGCTTAATCGTAGCTCCTTTCCCTACACATTCACCTGCAGAGATTCCGCACTCTGGTGTTGAGATGTCCGATGAGATGTTGACGCGGTATCAAGGGTTTGATAAGACATTAGAAGATGCGGTCGTTGACATCAATGTCCGACAATCAACCCAACACAGATTACTCATAGATGAAGTTCAAAAGAAGATATCATGTGGTCTTGTGCCTTTTGACAATCTACTTACGACCTTGGAAAAATGTGTTCAAAAATCCTACCAAAGTGTACAGCATAAAGAGCTCACCGAACAGAGAATAAGCAAGGCGTGGCACTCCTCAGAATCTGCACTTCGAGTAGTCAAGAAGCTAGAGGGAGATATCAAGGCAAGCGAAGAGAAATTTTCTGCCGGCCTGAATCTAGCGAGGGAACTAGCGGAAGTAGTCGATCGAATCGAGAAAGGGATATCAACCTCTTCCGAGATTGATCGAGTTGGCAGGTTGGAAAATGAAGTCATAGGAGTCAAAGAAGTGCTGACGGGAATTCGTCGACAAAATGACCTCGACAAAGTAAAATACCCAGACAAAGGACCTCTAAATGTCAAGGTCTCCCAATCTCAGCCAGACACTGATCCAGTTACTGCATTGAATGAAAAGGTCAACAAACTCACGGCAAAAGTCTCCAATCTGGCTGGTCTTGTTGAAACGCATGGGCTACCTACCAGTCACGGTGGCACTGCTAACAACGCCGCCCTCATTGAGGATCTGAAGAAGTCCAAGGGGACGATGATGAAGCGCCTGGCTACCTCTGAGGAACGCCTGGCTGCCTTGGAGGAACAGAACGACAAACTCATTTCTAAGATCAAGGAACTAGAAAAAATGTAAGAGACGGTATGAGAAGGGATAAGTAGTGAGCTTCAGACGATTATTTCACAAATTTCTTTTGATGGGTGGTTGAATAAAACAAGGGCCAGAAGTGAGTTTCAGCGCTGGGAATTTTTTGACTCCGGTGTAAAATAGATTACACCTTTCCTTCATAATCTCTCTTCCAGATGGTATCCCAGACTCCCTTATCCACCGCAAACTCTCTTACATAATCATGCTCTAACTCATGCGTCCTCCTTCCAAGCAACACCAAACTGTGCAAAGGGCCTCCCAATTGCTCATCGGCGTCACACAATTGTTTTAATGTCCCACTTACAAATTTCTCATCCTTGCAGCCTACTCGAGCAGCACCCACGCAGAGACTCTCTTCATTGTAAACTCCTCCCTCTCCATTCTCTGTCTTAAGCTCCTCGATCTCCAACATCTGCGATGCGCACTGTCCTACAGTCATGTATCTTGGTGGCTCGTATATCTTTCTTCCTCTCGCCATATTCTCCATAGTTTGCTCCTTAACCTTGATATCCAACAATACCAACGTGTGCAAACCGATATTCCTGTTCTCTCGAATGCGATCGTAGAATGAGGCAGGCTTCCAGTTCTCAGTGAAGAAAACCATTGAGACAGTTTGGCCAAAATTGTAAAGTTGGAGACCGGTAGCGCCAATCGCGGACATAATGGAGGCATTAGGAATAGTAGAGATTTGAATATTTAAGGAACGCGCGCGGAGGACAAGATCAGTATGGGTAGTAGCACTAAGCTTATATCAACATAGAACTTTGAAATTATGAGGAAACCATCATGTAGAACGAACCCAAAAGGATCTCCCACAACCAAAAATGCAACATCGACATTTTGCGCATCTTCCAAGATATCGTCACTAGCACTCTCTACCATATCTCTATCTGCGATAATCACTTCTCGTCCATAGTAACTTTCCTATGTCTACATCAGTCAGCGCCTTACTTTCCCGGGTCTAGAAAAAGACTTACAAGAACTGTTTTATCCACCAGCAAAATACTGGTGTAGGCCTCAAGGTATACGCGAGCGCATTTCTTGACAGCCTCAAGTCCTTTGACAGTAATATCTGTCTCGTCAGAGAGACCAAGTCCAATAAGGTAAAGCATCTTTCTTGTGTTTCTTACTGCAGGAACAATTCAGTGAGGGGTTCGAACAAGAATTCGAGAAAATTAATTTGCCCCGCACATTTGCTCATAAGGTTACTTCCATCATTCACCGCCCGGACCTTGAGAAAGGCAAAATCGCAGCCTTCCTCATCCTTACTTATTAGAAAATCATTTGCGACAGCAATTCGATCAGTGACCTACAGTCCATACATACTTCCGAAGACGAATTGAAAGCCCTAGTTAAGATTAGAGATTACACCATACCTCTCACCATCAACTACAATCCCAAAATCGCAATCATGTCCTCTAAAAAGGGCGCCTACGAAACTAATGCCTCGGACACTGATTTCCGCAAAAAATATGATCGCGAAGCCAACGTAGCCAAAGCACGCGAGCAAGAAGCGAAAGAAAAAGAAGAAGGGCGTCTACGATATGAAGCCAAGCTTGCGGGCAAAAAATACTACGCGCCTCTTACTGGCGATGAAACTCTTACATCTGCGCGCGCAAACCGTCTCGATGTATCTGCCAATGTAGGGAAAACTATATTGATGCCCGCGGGGGCAGCGACGGGCAAGAGAGGAAAGGGTGCGGGATTTTATTGTCAGGCTTGTGATTTGACGTTTAAGGATAGTTTGCAATGGGTGGAACATGAGAATAGTATGCAGCATTTGCGGGCGATCGGACAGACGGGAGAGGTGCAGAGAGCGAGTGTGGAGGATGTGAGGAGGAGGATTGATGAGATTTGGGAGAGGTTAGAGAGGGAGAAACATGAGGAGGTTGTTACTTTGGGAGAGAGATTGGAGGGGAGAAGAATTGAGGATGAAAAGGAAAGAGAGGAAAGGAGGCAGAAGAGGAGAGAATTAGCTGAGAGAAAGAAGGAGGAAAAGGATAAGGAAATTGCAGTCAAGAAGGAATATGGGGAGGATGTCAGGGTGGAAGGCGAACACGATGAAGACGACATGATGGCTAGTATGGGAATCGTTGGATTTGGGTCATCGAAAAAGTGAAGATGTATTGTTTGCATGTGGGATTTAGCGACGGTGTTCAGGACGGGATAGATTAAAGCATACAGATTGTATAATTGGGTTCTGTGTAGGTCAATATTATATTATAATTACTACCGATTCGGCTTGGTGATTGCCATTACTCCTTTATATTCGTGCCCGCCACATGGTTCGGACTACCATTAGAAGGACCGTATCCATCTGAGACACCATTTGGTTGAGATATCTGCTTGTTAAGCCAATCCCTGAACTTTTTCCTCCTAGACAATTTTACTGGAGAATCGTCTACTTCAGTCTCGTCACCACTCTGCATTTCATCTGACAAATCAATATCCGGAGCCCATCTTTCCTCATCCCCACAGACAACCACATACCAATTGCACACTTCCTCTGCCTCCAAGTTCTGCCTCAATTTATCAAGCCATCCTGCTTTTTCGTTCCTCATCTTGATTTCTTCGGGACTCGTGCCTAATTCCTCGCAATTAGGAGGCACAGTTTCTGCTTCTGCCTCTGCAACATTGGCTTTATACTTCTCCATCTCTTCGCATATGTTAACACCCAACCCAATTTCGACCATATAATCTGACACATAGGCCCATGGTTGACTGGTTGTTTTCAAATCCTCTGGATCATATTGCTCGACCAATTTAATCGCACTCCAATCATTAAATCGCAATGGTTTTTCCAACCCATTATGCGACTGTTCTCTCGAAATCGCATTTGTAGCTCCAGATGCTGATCGACTGTGTAAAGTTTCCGACCCCGAATTACTAGCATTGTTCTGTCCATTCGAATTCCCTTTCCTCAATGTCAAGCTGGACTTCTTCTTGTGGGGTGACTTTAAAGAGATCATGGATTTTCTATTCTCCTTCGTGAGGGTTTTGGGGGATTGCGGCTTGGGAGTTGTGCATTCTGTGGGGGGACTGGGAATAGGTGCAATGTCAATGGGACCCGGACTGCTTGGTGGAAGAAAATCGAATTTCTTGTAAAAGGAATTGAGGAGAGCATTCGAGGTCATGGGTGCCATTAACCATTCTGGAGCTGCATCTTCGATATCATTTAGAATCACATAAATACGAATATTTTCTCTTTTCCAACGGAAACCATGGAGGAGGTAGGTAGGCATTTTGGTGTGATTGCGATGGCGAGAATGTTAGATGTATTGATGTTGGGGACACACCAGAAGGATATCAGCTTTTAAATATCATATCTGATACTTTAGGAAGTAACTCCTCTTGGAATATTGATAAAGTAAAATGTAAGGGAAATTGCGATTGGCAGTTGCGGCTGCGAAAAGAGTTACGAGGCTATCTTTTCCGGGGTTCACAAGAGCCGATGTCTGTGCGACAGTGATGTTGGTGATGTTGGTGCTAACTTCTGAGCTCGACTTCAAGCTTCTTTGAGTAGAACATCCCAACTGCTTTCGTTCATCGAATAACTGTATTTCTGAATCACTTCCTCAACTAGTGGTGATATATGAACAGCCCTTCAGCCTGGGGAAGTCCGGGTTAGCCCCGAGTATACTGTCGTGATTCCTCGCTTCAATGGAGGATTGCATTTCCGGTGACGTTCAAACTTCGTTGTAAACATTTCTAAAGTCCAGGACTCTTCGTTTTCAATGCAATCTCGAGAATCCTTCGTATCTCAATGCCCTAGTTAGTGCCAGGCATTAAGTTGTTTCAGTCTACCTTTCTCTCTCAATTGCCTTTTCACATATTGAACCTCCAATCCGTCTAGAGATACTAAGCGCGCCAATAATTGTCGAGGATCTATGTATCCTTGTCGTGTCCGTACACGGGGAAAATGATTTTGTTGTTTAGGTGGATGAGATACTATGACTTAGCACCTTTTAATGGACATTGAAAGCTTTCATAGTGAATCCTACGATATAATAAGGCTATGAATATCTTCACTCCCATCCGACGAAGAGCTCGGTAGTTTCCGAGTCTGTGTAAACAACCAAATCTGATAATTTCACGGAAGAATTCTTTCTCAATATGAGTGTATCAATCATCACAAAAACCGTTCCGAATTATTTCTTCTGTATTCTCCTTTCGGTTTGATTCCAATCTTCTGCAATATCTCTGGTCGCATTACAAAGCAAAAACCATACAGAGGCTCAAGCAGGCCACTCCACTGCTTTCCAACCCCGCATCCTCATATTATACACCATGCCTCCCAGTATTCTTCCAGATGGCATGGTACAAAATCTACTCGATTTCATTCGCGAGGCAGTTCCGGTTTTCCATGAAGCAAGCATTGAACTGCTGACATTGATCTTGGAAAATGATCCTGCTACATCAGATGTAGCTAAGTCTCACAGCCGCTGGATATACATCAACCTTATGCGACAACTCTTACCATTAGGAGAAGAAGAGAGACAAGAATGGATAGTTGAGCTATTCAGCGGCAAAAAATACACTGTGGAGTTCTTCGCAGAGACAATGGTCGAAGTAAGTTAGGTCAATCCTCACGGGACTGGTATGATTCTTATTATAATAATAGAGCGGTATTTGGATGGAATCCGAAGACGAAAATGGATTCACGTTCTTCTCTATGAATCGACAAAAAGAATCGAACTTTCGCAAATGGCTCTTGCAACCAAGAATTCAGGAGATTTATAATGGTGAAGTAATGGGATGCCTGCATCTAATTGCGAAGAAAAGCATTGAAGGATCCGATTATATATCAAAGAAAGGTCCCAAATGTAGGAAATTATGCTTATTCTACATTCAACCCATATACTGACAAACTTCGCCAGCGAAATACAAAGTCGTCACTCCAGATTGGCAAATGGAATTCATCGAAACCAAAAAACAGCTCGCACAATCACAATCCCTTATTGAAAGTCTACAAGAAACGGTACAAACAGCGAATGACATCATAGATAACCAAGGCACCGTCCTCGATAATACGAGGCAGCAATTGAAAGTGGCACGTACGGCTAACGCAAGATCGGAAAAGGTGTGGATGAAGAGATATAAGAAGTTCTTCAAGCGTTCATGGAGCTAGGTGGTTTCAAGGAATTGGGATTGGCATTTGTGGGGGATGGAGTTATGGGAATTTCGACTATGTGGGAATAGGAGTTTTGTTGTATGTTTTGGGACTTGGGGGTGAGGCTATCTGAATACTTGTCATGACTACCCATGTACATTAATTAAACATGTCGATCTGCAACAATTCGTTTAAAGAGTATTCTAGATTGATTAAAGTGTTGTGGGAGATTTAGGGTGGTCCAGAAGTGCGAAGTAGCCTGGAGCTAAGGAGAGCTAGAGAAAAGAACTAGAGCGACCTCGAGAGCTAAAGGATTCATAGACTTTCTTCCGTTGAAAGACTTGTTAGGGCTTCCCTTGTAATCTTAAGATACAGGCGTGCAACCAAATTTGACCGTAACTGTGGTTGGATGATATTTGTGATGGAGGTGATGTTGAAATGCTTGAATACATACTATGTCCTAGCTATTGTCCTAGCTATCGTTCGATTGCTTGCTTACAGTACCTACTTACCAAGATAGTAGTAGTAAATCCTTAATAGACCCCGTCTAGTCATGATATATCTTTATAGTTTTATGACTTGAAGAAATCTGGGCGATACTAAATGTCGGTTTTCGTTTACTCTGATGTCGGTCCTACTGTTTCAATATATGGGTATCCATCATTTCATACTCATTCTTAAGCAATTTCACCATCATTAACAGGTCATCTAAGACACACTTCACGGTCTCTCATTTCTAATTTATACGCACTTTCCCCTCATCTCCAAAAAAAATACAAACCCAAAAGTCATAAAACTCTCGTCTAAACACAGAACAACGCTACTGCCTCAAAACTTTCAACTCCCATCCTAAAACATTCGATATGTCCTCAATCCGTCAAAGTGGATCTTTCTAAATAGGATTCTGAATCTCAAAAAACCCTGCTAGAATAATTATTTCCTTAACTCAATTGTGGAATGGAGTTTAACCTGTATAATTTCGGGGGTCTTGGTAAATTCTCGTTTAAATACATCAAGCGAGATCTTGATTAATCACATAGATAAATTCAACGTGATAATTTTAGTTTATCATATCCACTTCCTCTCATTATCGATTTCAGAAACAATCTTCTCTGAGCCTCCCCTAAGACTTAAATTCTAATTGCCAGCGGTACCTAGAAATGCTGTCACATAATCATAAATCTACAATGAACTATTACACGTCTAGAGAAACCGAGCATTTATGTCAATACCGATGAGCAGAGTACCTACAGAAAATCCAATTTATTATTCCTTATTTTCTATCATTTTGCACGTTTGAGAAGTTGGAGAATATTCAAGTATGTCAGTTCCTGTGTTCTAGGCTGCTAATCGATGATATGATTCTGTACTTACTTTGAGGACCTAGCTACTGTATGTGTCACATAAATATATGGGCGCAGCGAAATTGCATGTAGATTGAATAATATGATGATCTTCAATCTGTTAACAATAGCAAGATCCAGGTTATACAAATTCCACTAAGCCCTATCACAACGCAGACCCAACTCCCAACTCAACCGCTCAAAAACACCACCTAATCCATTCTTCCCTCTCCCTCTCCCCTCCCCACCAGAAATAACCATCGAACCAAACCAAACCCCAAATCTCAAAACATGAATTCCCTTAAAAATCCTAGAGCCTTAATCAACAGATATTCATCAATCCAGAACTTCTCAAATTACTACAGTAGGTTTTCTCCCCATTTTCGCTGAAGTTAGCAAAAAGGAACTTTTTTGATCCACCTCTCGATCGAAATTTTAAGCTCACACTGCTGTACATACCTAGATAGTCACAGATACCTATTTTTCCACGAATGTTTCGTTCACGAATCATGCCTCTTGTCTATTTCCACTAATCTACCCTTGGGATGAAAAGTAATAAATCGTTTAGTGTTGGTGCGAGAGTTTGATAAGGAGTCTTGCCTGTACAAAAATCACTACTCTCTAACAATTAAATTTGCTCCTCGAAGTTCTTCTCGAGAAACTTGAATACATAACATGATTCTAGAGATATTCTAGAGTATACCCTCGATGAAACCTAAAGGTAACATCAACATAATATGTTGGATATCTAGTATGATGTAATGGGTTTTGATGAATTAGCGCCTCTAGAATCTATTAATGGATATTTGATGAAACGTACAGAGAGGTTTCTCTTCCATTTCGTGTTCTCGAAAGAAAAGGTTGGGATAGAATAATACTATAGTAATATGATCACCGATCAAACGAAGTGAATCTACTAATTGCCTCATGATATGCTGTCCCCTGCACCTAAGACGAAAGCGCGATATAACTCAAAACTCAACCCTCAAACTTTACTTCAGATACGCTTCAGATACCATTCGAAACGATATTCACAATCAAAATAAAGCCAGTTAAACCACCTACAGCTAAAGTACTCGAATTATATACAAACACAAATCCAAATCCAACTTCAAATCAAGCTTGACAGCAGCTATAGCTAGTCAGTATAGGCAATAGTATTTCCCGTAATCAATATACGGATCGATTTAGTGATAATTATTGAATTTCTTTAAAATATTGCTGTATGTGGTATTGAAAGCTGTATCACTGAAAGTATTCAATATCATTTAGCTATTCAATATTATTAGCAACATATTGAAATACTAGGATTTAATATAATATATCTATTCCTATTCAAATTAGGTTATAAATAAGGGATTTCATTTCAATTTGAAATAAGGAATGGAATTTCATTGAATAGGAATGAATAAATTATACTGGATTCCAATATTTAAGTATATTGCTAGTATTTTTAGATATAAAAATAATTACAAGAGTGATATAATTCCTTTTCCAAACGTACTAGCTATCATATTAATATACTAATACGCGCCAAAGTTTTACTATAGTATACTATTGCCTACACTGTAGCTAGTATAAGATTTGAAACTTAAACACAGTTTCATTTTTCATTATCCAATCTTGATTTCATTACCAACTTGCAGACTTTCAGATCTCCAGATTTCCACATCACACTTTGCGCATCGTATATTGCAATCGCACATCGCAATCGCACGTCCGAATCCCTCATGTTATAAACCACAACTCGCGAACATGATACCTCCCTGGTAGATCAAGTGCAATCAACATCGATATCGGGATCGACATCGACATCAATATCAATCAGTCAAGCAAACACGGTCTCAATATACCATAACTATAACTATAGCAAGAATAAATGTAAAAATAAAAATAAAATAGCCAGCGAAGATAAAGTAACCCCCCCTTTTTCCTCAAAAATATCATCTTCTGGGTATCCTAGTCTTCTGATATTATATTATCATAGTATCATAGTATCGAATTGGATACTTTAACTTTGTGAAATTTGAAATAGACATCGTCATTCTGTGACCTATATCCCTTTTTCTTCTTCTTCTTCTTCTTCTTCTTCTTCTTTTTAGTCGTGCATTCTGTTGGGTTTTCTCATCATGATTCCTGAGGTCATAATATAATTAAGGAAGTGAGGAAGTAGAAGAGAAAAAGAAAAAAGAAAAAAGTAAAAAGTATCCAGAGAAGAAAAAGATCGAGGAAGCCGAAGTGATAAGGGTGGGTAAACAAGAAGAGTGATGAAGTTTGGTGTGATGAACAAATGATGAAAATCGAAAATCGAAATTCTGAAAAGATCAAGAACGTATAAGAGAACGTATAAAATTATAATCTCCATCATCTCCACCATCTCCACCACAAAATAAGAAATCGAGAGATTGAGAATGATGCGATTATCTGAGAATCGCAGGTTTTATCGTAGTGCCCCACAACCCTCCAAATTATATATTAGGTTAAAGGTCCACGGATCCTCATCCCATTTCATTTCGTTTCGTTTCGTTTCGTTTCGACACACGACCAAAAGAGGATTTTCTCAATAAACCAATGTATCTTGTTGAAGTCCAGCCGATGCATTCCCCGACACATCTTCAATCGCGCACTCGGATCCTGAATCGGAATCTAGGGGGTAGAATACGTTGATGAATGCATCTGCTGCTGTTCTTTACATTAGCTGTTGTATTCACAATCTTTTTAAAGAAACATTAGAAAAATATCCTTCCTATCTCTTTTTCTTATTTCTTTCTATCGATCTCCACTTGAACGGAATTTTTAACCCCTCTCGTGAAAATGAAAAAGATATGCAAATCAAAAGATTGTGTAACACAACAACAAGACAAAAACCAAAACCTAAACCTACCAGCCCCGTGCACAAAACACAATTCAAACTCCCCATGTTTCTTCACCTGGGCCCGTCTCGAATATTCATCACAAAAAACATAGAGATGCAAGTCTTTTACCCAAACACGATGACGCGAGTGACGGGCGAGCCAAGTATCGGATGTGACTTGGAGGTCGGTTACTAGTTTTCTTTTATTTTAGCGAGAGTTGGGAGATTACGCGTAAACGAAATTAGGGAGAGTAGGAAGATATAGAAAAAGTGATAAAAAGGGATTGCAAGGAAAGTTAAAAACCATACTAAAAGCAGTCCAAACAGGACATTTTCTCAATTCTCCATTTGCAACTGCGGCGTGAAGTCGTAAGGTATGAGTTTGTTGATTTTCGTAGACGAAGAGGGAGTGGTAAAATTCATCGTCTACTATTTGTCTATTTTTATGGATATGTTAGTAAAAACCCTTTTTCTACCCCGGAAACTCGTTTTCTTAGTCCCGGTTCCGCATCACTGCCTTTCGAGGAAAAATAATCACCTACCCTTGAAATATCTTGACCTCTCCGGCGATTATATAATCATCTCTTGGTATCAGATTTGTGAGTTGGGAACGCGCTTTGAGTGCTACGAATGAGCAGTGGAAGAGCACCATTCCTGTGATATTACGAAGTTAATTTCCGAATCATCGCATTTCATAATCAAACCCTCGATTCAAGCGAACAATAGCTTTACGAAAGTATACTAACGTTGCCAAGTCCTTTCACAAAACCAGTCAGCACATTCTCCAATCCCTATTCCCCTTCACTCCCCCTAATTGTCACTTCTTTTTCAAACTCAGCTGAGAAAGCATCACTCACTTAAAGAATAAAGCTATCCAAATAGTCGGATATTCCTTATACTCATTCCACCTCTTAAAGCACAATGCACTTCCATGTCTCCGAATACATAACTCATGAACCCCATAAGAAGAATAATGAGGATTATTTTGTTTATCCATCCAGCGACAGAGTAAATGGGGAGATTGATGGAGTGCTGTATCGTCGAGATAAAGGGTTACGGAGAGGTGATTCTTGTCGAAGGGTCTGGATGGTCAGTGAGAGGAGAAGTGAATCTGATGAAGGGGGTCTAGAAATAGTGAAGGAGAGAATAGTAGAAAGTAGAGAAAATTCAAGACTCACAATTTAAACAAAACTTTTGATTGCGGAGGGATACCCAATTTCATAAGATTCATCGATGGACCCCAACATCTCGATCTATACCATCCTATCAGTCAATTATTGTAATTTCTATAGATACCTCCTCTTCCACAATATCATACTTGGTACTTCATCTCCAAAAACCCCCCCCCATCCAACTCCCAAATATCCAAGTCCAATAAAAAGACAAACATACTCTCGTCTATGTCTCAAAACCGTTTGCGAAAGCGGTTGCGCATTATCATCAAAGATTTTTTCCGCCCAGTGCCGTTTCTAAACATCATTAATATCCAGCATCTCTACTTTCCTACATATTTCCTCCCTAAACCCTCGCTTCTCTTCCCCAAACACAGATTTCTAAGAAGCAGTTCAAACCGATATACCGAAAATTCGCTTACATACCTCAATTTCCATCAGATTCGGTTGTGCAGGAGTGAGATGCGGCTGTACCGGGATGGGAGGTGCTATAATCACAGATTCCTGGGTTAATCGATATAGATTTTCCATTTCACCACACATTTACGAGACGAAAGTATTGATCAGAGATGCAACGATACGATGCAAGAACCAGAGAAAAGACATCAAATCCAAGAAAGAAAAACATACCAGGAATCCCCCTCAAAGCCCTCAGCCTTAAAATTCTCAAGCGCAGCAATTCCAACGTCGTAGGATCGTAAGTTGGTGATCTATATGCTGACCGTTGTTACCACCATCCAATCAAGTTCTTCTAATCCCATCTCCCACATCTCACCAATTCAGACTTCAATCTAGGATTGGAAATAGAACTAGCACCCCTCCAAGCACTCCATTCCGATCCCCTCGAAAACAGAACAAAAAAACAAATCCCATCACTCACCTACTCAATAACCTCACACACTGCACCAAAAAATCCACGTACATGACAAACCTCAACGCCAACGACATTCCCCCTTGTTCATTCAACCGTTCATGCATCAACATCCATTTCATCCTAACCGACCAATCATCACACAGCAGAAACGCCAGCATATCTCTCAATGTCTTCTGCAAACAGGGTAAAATAACTGTTAAATAATAAATCACGACCGGAACCCGCAATCTGTAGATGGGGAAGAGATCGTGCAAGTCGCGCAGGAGCCGGGAAGTTTGTTCGACGTGTCGGAGAATCGCAGTGATGGTTTCGCTTTCGTAGTCGGTGGTATTGGGGGATTCGGAGTGAGGGGAAGATAGGGAGGGGGAATGGGGATGAGAGGAAGAGGGAGAGAGAATAGGAATAGAGGTGGTGGTTAGATGAGTGCGGATCTTGAGGAGTTCGATGGCGACGGTGTCGGCGCGGGCGGCTTCGCGCCAGCAGCCGGATAGCTCCTCCATGCCTCTTCGATTGCGGAGACTGGGGGCTGGAACGACATTAAGTTGGGTGATGCGATGGATGGGTGTGTGGGAATTGAGAGCGGATGGGTACTCAATCAGTGAGTTATTCTGTGGAGTATGTTTGGATATTCATTATATAGGTATTTTCAAGTGTTAATTAGGACATGAATAAATCTCAGTCCAACATAAAATAAAATAAAACAAATATATCATATCATAACATATCATCTCAGATCAATTGAAGAAGCAAACCCGAAGCATCGATGAAGAAGAAAAAGCGGAGTGAAGATCTCGAATACTATCGAACCAATTCATGCATACACAACATACATACATAAGTACCTCCCCTCACAGAAATCCCCAAAAGCGACTATCCCCTCCCCTCCCAAATCCCGAACCCATCAACTCACCCCCCAAGAAAAACCAACCACCCGCGGCTCTGCGGAAGAATCAACAAATTACACATCTCTCGTGTGGACTCATCTGCAACCACGACTGACGTGTCGAAAACCATTGGAATGGTGCAATATCGTACCATTTATTTCCCCTCTTCTAATCTTTCATGATGCCGATTCTGTGTGTGATTCATTGGTAATTCTCTATTCATATGGCATACTTACTGCAGAAATGTATGGTAACCAAGGAATAATTATCTTTTCCTGCATGATCAGTTCTGGCCAGTGGAATGTAATCTTGTAATTTCCAATCGCTTTGGATAGTTGTATGTGTATGTGTATGTATGCATGTATGATAAAGATAAAGATAAAGAATATAACCACAACCATGCATGCATGAACTCTCACAGTACGAACGAACCAGATATCTCCAAGGTCTACGGAGTAAGGTTAAGCGATTGAATTGCATCAATTAAATCACCATTTATCTATCAACGGGATATCATTGCGGAAGAATACCTATTAACAAATAATTGTAAATCGCCACCTGTGCAATCCTCATACCACGATAGAAGTGGCACAAAGCCTCAATCATCTCTTTCTCACAAAGTGGTAGAATGTAGAATAATCTCGACGAGCGAATCGTACAAGGCTGACTTTGTGGTTACGGCTGAGGATACGGAATTGTGTTGTTGTGGCAAGCCGAGGCCGAGACCGAGCCCACTTCCGATACTCATCGGCTTCGTACATACATTGATTTTGATATTAAGGTTACTTGATTATTCTAATCAATCGATCAATTAATCATAACAGAATGAAACTTCTCTTTTGAACTTGAAATTTCAAAACTAAGAAATATGACTCTGTGTTGGCTCCTCTAAGATCATTCAAGTCTCCCATCCATCCATCCTATCTATCCACCAACAGACAGAAAGAAGAAAAGAGAACAATGTACTCAGCTATCCGAATCGAATCCGCATCTCGGGGAACAATGCAGGAGATATCAATCCTGCAGTGTTCCACGCAGCATTTATCCACAGCAATAATATCACTCGGGAAAACTTCCTTGATGATTTACTTCCATTCTCTATACTCGAGTAGCCAATGATTACACCATCGAGATCTTTTCGAGAGAGAGAAAAAAAGAATCAAACAACATAAAAGTCCTCTAGACTACCCTCAACTCATGACATCAAATCAATTGCAACTCACTAAAGTAACAATTGCATTTGCCTTGAACATCACATACAGATGCATACCTGGGTACATACATTCATAAGTACATACATCCATATACCATCCATCCCAATCCATCCACCGACATACGCGCACAAGAGAACATAACAAGAAACTTCCTTTTGTACTCCATACCGTCGAATAATGATCGAGGAAAGATGGCTAGAAATCCTTATCCAATCCTATCTAATGAAATCCCATCGAGTTCAATGTAATGTCAGGCGCTCGCGTCGCGACAATAAAACATCAATCACATCTCTTCCCCTCAAAAATGCCATAATCAACAAATTACAACACAACACCAATGAAGAAAAAGGAAAAAGAAAGAAAAAAGTACAAGAAAACCAAAACATAAAACCCAGAATCCAGACCATAAATACAACATCACATCTCATCTCATCTCATCTCATGTCATCCTATTCCATCCAATTCCATCCCATTACAGCACTAGCATACCCTATCATCTCCCTTCTCCATTTTTGTATATATATCATCAATCCCTCTCTCAGATATCATCAAAATATCCTTTCACTCTTCTCCTCTCTGCTCCTCTTTTTGCTTTACCTTTTCTCCACTCCTTCCTCCCCATCTCCTCCCCATCTCCACTCCATCATCCTCATCATCCTCAAAATCCCCAACCCCCAACCTCAAACATCACTCAACCGATCGATCCTGCACTCCCCAGAAACTCAAACTCAAGCTCAAACTCGAAATCCAAATCAAACTCCCCAAAGACATATAACCCCATGCATACACATACGTACCTAGATATATGTATACATATATACCCAGCACCTCAATACTCAATCCTCAAACACATAAGTCACACTGCACCTCCACCTCCATCCTCAAATCCACACCACTCCACTTCTCTCCAAAAACGAAATCAGTAAGCAAGCAAGCAAGCAAGCAAGCAAGAAGGAACTACCTTGCCCCTCCCTCGCACCCTGTAATATTCTCTAACGTCCAGTTTCGCGCTCCTCTATCCCCATCCCCATCTCATCTCATCTCATTTCATCTTCCCATCCTCCTATTCCTTATCTCGTCTCCTCAGTTGTCTCTTTTCACGTCTCTTTTCACGTCTCTTTTCAAGGAAACCCCACCCCCCTCCCCACCCCAACTTCCACCTTCCACCTTCCATCTTCCGTCTTCCATCTTCCATCTTCCATCTTCCATCTTCCATCTTCCATCTTCCATCTTCCATCTTCCATCTTCCATCTTCCATCTTCCATCTTCCATCTTCCATCTTCCATCTTCCATCTCCCTTCCATATCCCATTAAAAAAAAACCATCGATTCCTATCGAATTTTCCTCAGTCTTACCTCACAACCTCTTCTCTTCTCTTCTCCTCCCTTCTCCTCCCTTCCCCACCTCACAGCATCTCCTCACAGTCTCTACCATCTACTCTTCCATCTACCCATCCAACTTTCCACTCCCTCAAACCCTCTCATCAAACCCCTCCCATCCACAACCCCCCCTCCAATTCCATCCATCCATCCCTATCCACAACAAACCTCACACATCCAATCTTCCTCCACCCATCTCCATCTCCAAAACTTCAATATTTCCAAGAAAGAAAGAAAAATCCTCAGTATCCACTCCCCTCTCCACCTCATATCTAGCCCACTCCTCACTCCTCACTCCTCACAAGGCTGTAAGGCCAAATGTCTCAGATCCTTCGAGTCTCGAATCTCCAATTTCGAATCCCTCCCTCCCTGGCTCCTTTCCGTTTCGTTTCGTTTCGTTTCATTTTCCATGTGGCCAGTGGCGAGTACAAGTAAGTATCGAGTATGGGTCTACCTAATCCCATTCCACCATACATTCTAAAAGAGCATTGTTTTAATAACAATATATTATTCGCATCTGAATCATGACTTCACATAACATCACATCAAGTCACACTTTATAGATTCAATAGACAAAAATTTAGAATACAAACGATATCATTGTTACACGCAATTGGTTGTAGAAATTTACCATGATCTTATCTCATGTCCTAGACCTATCTAGACAGACCTAGACTTTGGACCTAGAACCAGACCTAGACCAGACCATAAAAAATCCATCGATAGCAAAAAACGATACCGCAAGATCATCATCCGATATGAAAAGGAAAAGGAAAACGGCAACAAGTGCTCAAGTTGATCATCCCATTCCCCTGTCAAAACATAACACCCCAGCCCAAATGAAAAGCAGAAAAGATAACCCCGGAGAACCTCCCAACTTGTATGATTATGTCATCTTTGAATATTGATGGTCGGATAGGTAGCTATCAAGACTATCATCTGTCGAGATGAAGTGATTGAAAGTTTGAGTGATTAAAGAAATCTCTAAGAAGACTCTTCCTCCTCAGCATCGGCCTGTAACGTGTATTGTTTAGTTCCATGTTCTTTTTCAAGAAAAGGTTGCTACTGTGATAGCATGATTGATACGCACTGTAAGACTTACGTTATAATTGGCCTTCTCCTCTTCGTAACGTTTCTTATCTTTGGCAGCAGACTCCTCATAGGGACCTCTTTGCTTCTCGTTCAAAGCCTTCCAGCGTTCTCCGAGAACCTTTCCGACTTGACCTATGAGTTCATTATGTTAGTGATGCAATTGTGAGTATGAGAGAGGAATGAGATCGTACCGAAAGAGATTCCGGGATTCTCCTCACGAACGTTATCACGTTGTTCGTTGGCGAAGAACATGTATGCAGAAAGACCACGCTTTGGTGCATTGGGATCTATTGAAGACCGAGTTAGTATACGAGTCTTCGTGGATAGCAGCTCATGAAACAGAATTAACATACCCTTCTTCTTCTTCTCAGTCTTCTTGGCAGCACGCTTGGGAGCCTTTTCCTTTGGCATCTTGAATTAAGTGGAAATGGGTCTAATTGAGAAGAATTAAAGTCAGTACGATTGATTGAAATGTTTATGCGACCGTGATAAAATTGCGACGATGACTATCAAAAGTGGTTGTGGTTGATATCAAAGTGGTCAAAAATCGACGAGCAAGTGGTTGATGGTTTGGTGGTGATAGCGCGTTATGAAGGTGTTGTAGTATTTTGGCATGGAGTTGTGAATAATTTGCGAGGTGAATGCAGTCGCAAAGGTAATAACTTCCTCACGACGTGGAAATTGAACGTGATGATGGATGGAAATGAAAGGGAAAACTTACATCTAAATGGATGTATAAAGTGACGACAGTTATTAACTGTAGTGGTTGATCTAAAACGCGAAGAAGTTGAATCAGTGAAATTGTTCCTAGTGTGAGTGGTTGTAGTAGTAAGTCGAAGTGATATCGCGACGCAGAGAGAGATGACGCGCCGATGAAGTTGAAAAGAGAAGCAATTGTATTGGAGTATTTTGAGAATGAAAAGCAGTACCG